GTGGGTTCTCCGGGTTCTCTGGCTTCAGTCCAAAGACATTCATTATCTAGATTGTGAGGATGGAGTTATGAATATTCCACATGTGAGGAACTCTGCATCTGTAGCACTCCGAATGAAATCACTGGTTTTGTTTACTTGTTTTCACTTTTGACGTTATTTTCGAGTGTGTCACAGTAATAAGCCTTAAAGGTTAAACGGCTTTCTTGAAATGAATTAATTTGCCACATGTTTATGAATAAGATGCAGTAGTAGTTGTTGTTGTGCTACAACACCACACACAGTTGCAGGAAACAGAAGTCGATGGGAAATTAATAACACATCACACTGTTTTTATAAAGACAACTAACACTGAGAAGGCGCCGTTTCTGAAAGTCAGTTGGGGCGTGTTAATATTGAAATCACTGACGTTAATGTTGCTCTGTTTCTTTATTCAAGGTGTGTTTTGGAGGTCCCAGCTGTATATCGACCAACCACAGTTCCTGAAATTCAACATTTCCGTGCAGAGAGATGCTCTTGTTGGTGTGTATGGACGCAAAGGCCTACCACCATCACATACACAGGTAACACGCGAATGCAGATGTTCCCAGGACTACTTTACTGCACCAACATAGTGGAGAGTGGAAACAGTGCATGAAGTGATATTTCCACCATTTGAAGTACTAATGAAGTAATGTGTAGCTTTAATCATTGATTACATTTCGTATTGATCTTAAAATCTTATTGCTCACTTTTAAAATCACAAATAACACCGCGCCCAGCTAGCTTACGGATCTCCTCAGCTTTTATATCCCTGGGACAGCGCTTAGATCAGCAGGCCAAATGCTCCTGGTGCGACCTAGATCTCGGCTCAAGACCAGACCACGCATTCGCCGCTGTCACACCCTACCTCTGGAATAACCTCCCCCTAGCTATTCGGGCGTCTGATTCAATTCAATCTTTTAAATCTCGATGAAAAACTTATTTGTTTAGCCTTGCTTTCCCCGCCTCCACATTTTTAGTGTACTGGAACTTATCTTTATCACTTTGTTAATGTTTATAATGTTTTAACCTTCAGCATTGTGTGTGGACTTCACTAGTGCCTACTGTGCCTGGTGTATTATTGGTTAGTTATGTCACTGTTAGTATATTTTATTTGTATTTATTATTGCTCTTAACTCTGTGAAGCACTTTGGCATACCTGTGGTTTTTTAAATGTGCTATATAAATAAAATTGTATTGTATTCAAACAGCAGTGATGGAAAATGACACCTGAGTGATTTCCACGTTGTCATGCTGTGACATAGGTTAAAGTTTTTACCACTGAAGTTAACTTTTGCCATTTTTTCAGTCAGCATTGACTTTTAAGAGACTGCTAATATATCCTCTGTGCCTCTCTGTCCAGCCTTTCATCGTTAATAACATTCAGGGCTCGTGAGTGCGACCAAATATTTCAAAATCCTTGGTAGCACCAGTGCAACCAGCTGTTCCAGTAAAGAAAAACCCTATTGTGTGTGCCAATCAGAGATGGTCAGGGGCGGGACCTCTGTGATTGGCCGTGGTGCTGTAGTTGTCCCGTAGTCCTTTGTGTGTACGTTTGAATATACGCTTGAATAAAGCGATATCGATTCATTAAATCCTGAATCGACTTTTAAATATGAACTTATTTTGCCAGAAACGCCAGAATCTCAGCTTAAAGCTCACAAAACTATTTCAACAACCATCAAACAGTAAATGAGAGCAGGTAACGGACTCCACGCATCAGAATCAGCTTTGTCTTTCGCGGCGGCACACGTCATGTGTTTCTGTTTATGCTCTGTCACGTCTGAGAGGAACATTCATCTATAATGTAAATACAGATGAAAGTCTGTCAGAAAGGTTAGAAGCTATGTTATGCCTTCAGCATACAGAGCTGACTCATTTAATTGTGGTGTATGTGTGCAATAGTTGCCATGGTAATGTAGGTCATGACCCTGGGATGAGATTTTGTAGGCAAAGGACGACATGATGCAGCAAAGAAATGTTTCCAGCTGAGGCGATATTGCTGTTTTTATCTTTACCTCAAAATGAAATCTCACTGAATCAGTGGCTGCAGCTGATGTCTGTTCACTACTGTAACAGTTAGGACAGTTTGTCGTCAGCCTCCCTCGTTCGTCTGACTTTTCTGCTTTCAACAAATTTCCGAAGTGCTCAGAAAACCACATGAAATCAACACAGGAACGCCGGCGCCGTCCTAGTGGCAGCCTAAGGTAGCTGCTCTCCGACTCTGATTCTGAATCAAGTTATAAATATTTCACAGTCAACTTTCCAAGTGAGTCCAGTGCTTCATAACTCTCAGTCCATAATGACTACAAGCTTCTTCACTAAACTATTTCTTCAATGACACTTACATCTCTGTGTTCTGTCAGAGGACTAATCCACGCAGTCTCACAGCTCAGTGTCAGCACTTCAGATGATTTTGCTTCCTGTAAAGTTTTTCCCCTCTGCTCTCACTCATTGTTTTCTCTATTACTGTTGTTGTGAAATGGTCCATTACACACAGAGCCAATTTCATAGACATCTGTTATGTCATGTGACTACTCAGAGTTTAATTGGTGATATATTTAAGATTCACCTAAGACCGTGTGATAACATCGTGGCCGGTTTAGCTCAGTGGGATGAGCGGGCGACCGTAGGCTGAGAGCGGCTGGCCAGGGTTCGAGGCTGACCTCTGTCCTTTCCACATGTGTTTTATTTAAAAGGGACAGTGCAGTCTAACATAGTGCAAAACATGAAACTGATGTAACGCACACAAGTTTAGAGTCATTGCTAATTGTCCCTTGTTGGGCTCACAATCACAATGCACATATTTTACAACACCAAAAAAGTCCAAGAAAAGGCCGTGGGTGGCAACGGGAGGTTTGTTTTAGAACACACTTCTGACTCCATTGTTTTAAAATCATATGGCGTTTATTTCGTGGAAAATTATAAACAAAAATCAACCAAATAACTTCTTACAACTTAAAATTAAACGAAAGTTAACTCAATTTGCTTTAACAACTTCAAAAGTGGTCAAAAAATCATTTTCTAACCCTCCCGCCTTCCCATCAGACATTTGGCAAACAAAAAAACCATCCTTACCACACCCCTCCAGGGTGCTCTTAATCCCGTGATTAATGGGAGGGTCCATAAGCCAATAAACCAATCACTTTCCAAAACCTTTTCTAATAAAATGAATTACAAATTTACATAACAAAACTAGGTCAGCATATTCTTACAACTTTAAAGAAAAAACAAAAATTAATACAAATTGCGTTTTATAAACATTCAACAAAAATGGCCACAACAACATAAATTTTCATAAAACTAAAATACATCATGGATACAACTACAATTAATAGACAATAAAAAAACCAACAACAAAAAATCATGAATTAAAATGACGACAGCTCTGATTTCCCTTTAACTAAACTTTGACCTTCGCTGTAAAGGGTCTGATGTTTGACTTCGGTTGGAGGTGTGCTCCACAGATGGCAAGCTGGGAAATGCTGACTGACCAAATGTAGCTCTGCGATATGAAATCTTACAGTTCACCATGCTGCCTAGTAAGATGTGTTGTCACTGCACTGCCTGATAAAGCCAGTAAGAGGCCAAAAAAGACCAATCGAGTGTCACACTGACCTGCACTGCTGTCCTTGCAGAGAATCCAGGTGACAAAAACTGGACATGTTGAGCATCACCTCTAAATCTCAAAGAGCGAGTGGTTCGATTGTCATAGCTGAAACTTTAGGCT